CATTCTGTAGGTTGTCTCTTCACTCTGTTGATTGTTTCCTTTGCTGTGGAGAAACTTTTTATTAGATAGTTTGATATAATTCCATTTGTCTACTTTTGCTTTTGTTGCCTGTGCTTTTAAGGTCTTACCCTCCAAATTTTTGCCAACTAATTCCATGAAGCATTTCTCCTGTGTTTTCCTATAGTGTTTTCATAGTTTTGGGTCTTACATTTGTCTTTAATCCATTTTGAGTTAATTTCTGTATATGGTGAGAGATAGGGTTTAATTTCATTCTGCATGTGGATGTCCAGTTTTTAATTGGGGTATTTTGAGGTCTGTTTACATAAATCTGCAGGTTAAGAACCTTTAATGGATCATAAAAATTAACTTAGTGATTTGAAACTAGCAATTTCTTTTAAAAATGAAATATACTAGACTATAATTATAGCCTATTATATAGTAAGGATAAGTGTTGTTTTGTGAAACTTTTTAGTTACTTCTTACTTGCTGCAAGGTGTATATATGTGTGTGTGTATGAGTGAGTACTGGATTGCTATATAAAATGTATTTCTTCATGTGGTACCTGGTCAAAAAGTTTGAAAGCCATTGTCTTACACCGAAAATTCTAGAGAATTCTTTTGCTTTGTCAGGGTCAGAAAACTCTGTGTTCCTCATTACCATGTCACGCTCTTCTGTATGTGTCTTCAAAAGGAAAGATTGCTTCGAAATAAAATGAGAAGTGGACTCTTTTAGATGAAACTCTTTGTAAGTGGTTCTATAACTACAATCATTTGTGTGTCGTATAGGTAGTAACATCCTTTCTTCATAGATTCCTCTGGCTTCTCATTTCAAGGTTAAAAAGTCTTCAGAAATGATTATCTGTATAGAATTTGTCTATAGTTTTTCTGCTTTTTTATATTTACTTATTTTATCCCTCCCCCTTCTCCTCTTTCTTCTTTTTTTCCACTATCTCTCTTAGTCTTTTTGCTTTCCTTCCCATGTTCTTACCTATTTTTGCTTCTTTTCATTTCTGTAATATTAATATGGTCACAACAATGCTCTTATTGGTAGTGTGACTTTTGGGAACTTGATAAGTCATAAAATTCTGGCGTATGCCTTTCTGACAAATAGTTGGTCTGAATTACATTTCTGGACCCTTCTGGACCTGCTCTCAAGAGAACAAGAAATCTCAGATCATTTGGAAGCAAACTGATCTGTGGGGTTTGTGGGTTTTGTTAGGGCTGAACAAACCTTGTGATTATGTTAAGGAATTTTTCAGTTGCTCTGATCTAGTCTCACACAATAAGGGAGGAGAGAAGTTAAGAGACTTCAGTATTCCCCACCCCCACTTACCTACCCTTCCCTCTTCTTCCTTCACCCACTCCTTCCAGTCTTGTGCAGTACATGGAGCTTGTCCAAGTTAGGGAACAAACTGGTCTTAGCTAGGAGAGTTCTTTATCTGTTGGACAATGTTTAGCTCCATTTGGTCTGGTTGGGTAATATAGTTTGATCTTTCACTATTTTGTTTTTCATTGCATGAGACAGTTAAGGGATCTCCTGATCCTTAGAAAATCTGAAAATTAAATAAAATGGGTACAGGGCTAAGTGAGAATTGGTAATTATATGTATTGAATTCATACATTGTGCTTTTTTTCCCTGATCTATGATAGATTTCATTGTTGTATTAGTTAGGATCAGTTTGGCTACTATAGCAGCGGTTTAAATACGATAGAAAGTGATTTATCTCTAATTTAACAATCTGAGTGTAAGCAATGCAGGATAGTTTTGGTGCCTCCATGGTGTTGGGGATCTAGGATCCTTCTATTTTGTTGCTTTGCTATCTTTACTTAAAGCTTTTATCTCATAGTTGAGATGGCTACTCCTATTCCTACCACAACATTATTGTTACAGTTATACAATGGGGAACAGAAAGGGGAGGGCATGCTCCTTTTAAGGGTATAACCTAGATGTATGTCATTTCTGCTCACATGCCATTGATCAAACCTAGTTACGTGGTCACACTCAGCTGCAAGAGAGCCTGGGAGATAGTCTTCAGTTGGACAACCAACCACATGTCCCACTAAAACTTCTGTTGCTGTAGAAGAGAACAGACATCGGGGTATAAGGAACATCCCCACCATAATATTCAGCAACAGAAAAGAATTTACTTTTGGAATGCCTATTTTTTTCTAACTTCTTATTGCTTTGTGGGGAGAAATTTTTCACTGATATTATCAAGTTACCTAAAAGAGTTAACCTGAATTAATGTATTTCCCTTCGGGACTTTAGATCAAATTTATTCTAATGATTGCAGGGACGAGTGTGAACTATATTAAGAGACAAGATTGTTCTTCTCATTTTTCTTGTGCTGTTTCTGTATCTTTTATTTTTCACCTTTCTGGAGGCTAATCATCTACTTGTTTTCTTTGTATTTTTAGGTATGGCACAGTCACAAGGGTGGGTGAAAAGATACTTCAAGGCCTTTTGTAAAGGCTTCTTTGTGGCAGTGCCCGTCGCAGTGACTTTCTTGGATCGGGTCGCCTGTGTAGCAAGAGTGGAAGGAGCATCAATGCAGGTGAAAATGAATACAACTTCATTCTTTAAAGCACACGCTCCATTGTTCCTCAAGCACTAGAAATGAGAGTTCTAGTTATTATGTCTATTCTGGGAACTGAAAGGTCATAAAAAGGCATTGAACTAAAATTTCACTTTACTAAATTTCTTTTTAAGGTCTTCTAATGTAGTTATATTATAATCAGAGTAGAGGTGAATAAAAATGACTATTAGATAGCCCTCTGGGTTGTGGTTTGATTTTTTTCTGAGAATTGTGAATAAATATTCTAAAGGAATTTTGCTAAATGATACCATTTTCTGTGAATATGGCCATATTTGAATATCCTTTTGAGATCAAATTATTAGAGCAGTTGCAGGATAGGTTTGGGTCAAATTCATTTACTCTATTACATCATATAGCTGCATGATTTTAGTTTGTAGAAAAGTCTAGATCATTGATCCCAGATATTCTAGTGTGTTCTTTAAGCACTTTGCTGTTTGAAAAGATTAAGTGCAGTTTATAGTGAAAGAACTTTGGAGTGGAAATTTCCAAAAGTTATATGCAAATAGTCTTCTGGAATAACTTAGAGGAAATTTTGTTTTTCTCAGGCTGATGTCTAAAACCTAGCTGTTTAAGTAAGTTTCTGCAGTTAAACAGAATTTGCATTTTGTAATATGATTTGGTTTTTTCCCTTGTTGGCATGCATTAAGTTCATGAATCATGCTAAATAGCTGTGTAAAACAAATAACTAAAATGAATATATAAGCTTCTGAGAAATTAAAATTATACAGATAATAACCAACTTAGTTTTTTTTTGTTAGAACTAGTTAAGGGCATAGATATCAGCTTTGAGGAGTTAGAACAAATTTGCTTTATTTATTGTAATTATGGTATTGAAAACCAGACTTCTTCCCTGAGTCTCAGAAGTCAGTGAGATAAGGAAGGCCAGTGGATCCTTAGGGTGTTGTGCTTTTAGGGTGAAGATAAAGGTTTAAAGCAGAGCTGCCTTTATGTTCTACTTTCATCACTTGAGGGTAGTTAGGGCCTTCTCCTGGGCAGGGGAGTCTGAGCTCAATCTTTCTTTCAGGTTCCCTTAATAGGGAATCACCAGCCTAAAGCGAACTAGTCACTTACTTTGAATGCAAAAAATATTTTAATGTAGGGATACAGGAAACATTGGAAGAGAGATTTACAGGAATATGGCTTTATTTCTAAATACAGTTTAATACCTTTAACATAGACTGGATTTTACACTTCCTGCCTCTTTGAGTTCCTAGCAGCCTTGTCTTAGACTCAATTCTTAGGGAAAGGTAGACTTTCTTTGCTGAGCTTTTGAGTCGGAGTCTTCATTTCAGATTAAAACTGTCTTCTACACAGCCACCCAAATCCCCTTTTGGTCCCAAGGATTCCTTTTGAATCCATCCATGGGTATGTATCTTTTGGTAACAAATAATCAGGTTAATAATGATTTTCTCCAGTTTTTTTAGTGCTGTCTTGCTACACAACCATCACTATCCTGAGAAGGATTTTTCCGGAACACAAGACCTCCTTACTTTGGATCTGATAATTGAGAGGATCATGTGACAATCATAGTATCTCAATCTTCATATTTTTAGCCCAGTATATTCCTATTGAACATCTGTGGTCATGGCTTGTGCTGAGAGCCAAGGATATTTATTAAAAAATATGTGGTTCTTGCTCACAAGAAATTGATTGTCTTATGAAAGGATAAAGCTTATCTTCAGTGAAGAAGGCAGTGAAGAAAGTGTTAAATCATGTCATTCCTAAATGTTAGTCCATGGACTAATGCCGGGTTTGCATTAGATGCATTAGAATCTGCAGATGCATTAGAATTTCTTGCAGTATTCCTGGGCCTCCTCCCTGAGAAGTCAAATTTATTACCTTGGAATTTTTTTGGTTTATTATGTAGGGTTTCCTTGGCTACTGGTTATAGAAAAACAGCTCCAATTAACTTTGGTCTAAAGTGGAATTTATTGTAAGGCTTATTATGTACCCATGAGGAAGGCAGGAGTATGGCAGTTGTCAGGGACAACTGGAACCAGGACTTGAATGTTGCCAGGGTGTTCACTCTTCCGTTTCTAAGTTCTGCTTCTGTCTGCATCTTGGCTTAGTTTTCTCAGAGCAGCTTTCTCCACATGGCAAGGCACATGGCTGCTGGCAGGTCTCATGCCTTAGAATGCCCAGTTTCATCACCACCTGAGAGAGATCACTCCTCTTGTCTTAATTTTAGTTTGAAAAATCTTGGAGAAGGACTGTGGTTGATTCAGCTTGGGTCACATTCCCTTAACTATAGAAATAAATAGATCAAGTTTGGCTATCAGTGTGGGGAACCATGATTGGTCTAGCTTTGGACAGGTGCATACAACTAGTCTGTGGCTAGGATGAGTGATCTGTAAGAAAATGACAACGTCTGTTTGAACCACATTGATCTGTGGGAATTAGGGGTGAAGTATAGGTGACATTTCGCAGAGGAAGAAGGATGCTATTTTCAGAATAAAAGCAAAATGGATATTCTGGGCTGGGTGCCGTGGCTCACATCTGTAATCCCAGTACTTGGGGAAGCTGAGGTGGGAGGATCGCTTGAGGCCAAGAGTTTGAGACCAGCCTGGGCAATATAGAGAGACCCTATCCCTATAATAAAAATAATAATAAAATGGATAATAATAAAAGTGGATATTCTGGGAAGAAAGGAAAAATATATGTTTATTACATTTGGGTCTATATTTTATGAATTTGAGACTAACTCTAGGTATAACAGATAATGTCATTTACAGTTTGATCAGATACCACTAAATCATATGTAAAATTATTTAAAAGCAGAAATTGCAATAATGAGCTTTGGTAATTAACTAATTTAGCATATTTGAAGACATCTTTGCTACTCTATGGCTTTGATGAACTAAACATATTTAGACCATG